CACACAGACGATGTGACAGACATACATACACACAGACATACGCACACACGTAACCCGAGGGTTTCTCATCTACAGCTGGCGAATACTCCTAATCCCTTAAATACACAGGCCACATAAAAGAGGTGGATGTAGTGAAGTGGGTTCGGGCTCATAGGCGATCCCTTGGGGAAGAAAAGGAATCCCAGACGTGGACCGTGGGGAAAACGGAGAAATGTCATGTGCTCAGTAGACAGGAGTTCGGCCGTTGCCACCATGTTGTTGAGACTTGATTTTCATATTCTCAAACGCCTCGTAGTCAACTGGGGGTGTGTCCGGTCGAGAGACCTGAAAATCGGAAGAAATTGGATTCGATAGATATTAAAACCTGTGTATAGATTGAAAAGCTGATCAGCTTGTATCTCAAAATTCAAAATTTAGAATGAATTATTGCCAAAAAATGTGAAAATATGCAAAAAATTGAAAAAGCAACCATGCAAATGTACGAGTGCAGTCAACATATTTCACTAGGGTCTTAGATGATCTAAAGTATAAAAATGCCATATAAACGTCCTGAACTATGAAGAGGCTATGTACTGAACTGTACTTCCATAAGTAACTTATGAAAGTACAGTTCAGTAGGCTGCATCCCGGCTACAGCTCGTATTAGTCAGATCATGACCTCAGTTAACCTCTAAACCATAAGTTCAACGCTAAGCCGTTTTCTCTTCAATACCTGCATCGCACAACTTGGGTATGAGCTGCTTTTGTAAATATCAGAGCATAAGGGTGAAAAGGACTATGTGCGAAGTATAGACAGACTAGTTCCTATTAATTTTCAGCCCGAGTCCACGATGAAGGCGAAAGCCTGAGTTAGTGGATGGGTTCTTGCTGGCTAACACCTCATCGAACCAAAGCTATCATCAGACAGCATTATTTTTTACTGCTCCTCCCTCAAGCTCTTCCTGACAATTCCAGTTCAAGGGGATGAGGATCGAGTATGGAATGGATAGGATGCTTCTTGTAAAAACTTTTTTTCCGTTTTCTCGTGCTAATTTTTTTCATGGCGATTTTTGCAAGCATTTTTCTGCTATGGTGGTGTCACGTATAGCCTGTCAATTAAGAACATTCTCTGTGGATCGACTAAAAAAGCAGGTCATCTGCAAACTACCGTCCTAAAACCGTCAATATTGGAGCCTATCCAGAAAATTCATGAGACCCAAATCTCTTTGGACCGCTATAATTCGCATATAGACAAGTAATTTGTCATGCAAAATACTTCCCATAGCCTTCCCTGGAAATGGCACCGGCAGAATCAAACAGATAAAGATTTTCTGCGTCACTGTCCCTCTTCCCTTTAAAAAATAACTGAAACTACTAGAAGAAAATTGACTCACATTTGCTTCAACTGTTTGTGTTGCAATTTCTGGACTGCCGTTCCTGTTCAGCGTCGTGTTGCCCGTTTCTTTAGCGGCAGTTGACCTAAAACCACTGAATATCGATAAAATCGATTCAATCAGGACAGGTATATTATGAAACAATTTGACGGGTTACTTTAATGTTCCTCCAAAGGCTTTCTCGTTTAGGTGAGGCTTTCTGTAAATTCCAGCTTCGTACTGTTCCCAAACTGAAGAGTTGTCTTGTCGGGAGTTCGCTGTGCTGGCGGCACAATCCTGAACATGAACTGTTTTTGTAGACGGCACCATTTTGAAAATTTGAAACCGACCTTTTTTGTTGATTTCCTCCTATACGTGTCATAGTATGATTCGTAATGATCAGCGGAGTAGTTTGCTGGTTGGTAGGAAGCCTCTGGTGGCCCCATGTGTGATCCAGGCATGTACACTGGCTCCTCGTATGCGCCTCGACGCGGAATCGTGCCATAGATCGACTCTGGTCCTGTGATGATTGGTCCTTCACCAGGGCTGGTAGGACGATACGGATGCCCCATGAAGTGTGGTGGAGGCGGTGGCATGAAATAACCACGTGGTGCAAACGGTGGTGCCATCATTGGGAACATATGTGGTGGAGGGGGTGGCATTCGTACACCCGGAGGTAATCGCATTGACGGTGGTGGCATCATATGGTGTGGTGGTGGGGGTGGTGGTGGCGGAGGGAATGGTCCTCTGAAAAACTGTGGGGGTGGTGGAAGCGGTGGTGGGTGGAAGCCCATCATTGGATGAGGATGGTGGGGATGTGGTGGATGCATTGGGAACGGCATTCGGGCTCCTGGTGGCGGCATCGGCGGTCCATAATGGTGGTGAGGACTGGAGCTGTAGGCCAAGTCAGCTTCCGAGCCGGCACGACGTGGTTGTTCAGAAAATGGCACTAGAGCAGTGCGTCCGACACCTGAAAGAGATGAGGCATCAATAAAGAGCTGCAACTGCTGGTTTTTAGGTTGCGCCATGCATCTGCATCTGCATCTGCATCATCATTTTGATCTAAACGCCATATTGCATATGTGGTATAAGTTATCCAATTATTCAAGTGATTTTAAGGACTATTCCCAAGAAGATATCCTGCAACCTTGCGTTCCAATTAATCCGACATCTTGCAATTCATTAAATCGATTACGGTGGCGAACGAACAAATCTTGCGGACTGCATGATGTGGTATTAACGGGTCGTTGCGCACACCAAACAGCGACACGTCGCCACCTTTTGATGAACGTTCGATCGTCTATCGCACTATCAATTCATTAATGGAAACTACTGTGACCTAATTCTTCTGCATTTGCACCAAGATTGTCAGTACTTACTGGAAAACGGAATAGTCCCTTCCCCATTTGTCGAAAGGACAAACAGTGTTCAGGGCAATTTCCAGCATAAATCGATTCAACAGACAAAGTTTATGAGGCTATATCTGACCAAAGTACCGCTGATAGGTCTACTCGCTTATTAATTAGGCTCTCTTTGAAGTGGAGCACCAATGACTTTAGAATCGAAGTCGAAACCATTTTTAGGAGTGGTTTCAAGTAGTGCCACTGGCACAGGTACGGGATTAGATCCCGACACATCCCCACCTACTCGAATCCAGCTTTTCAACCCCTTATGGTCACAAAATTGGTATCAGACTCATGCGGGAGGATGGAAGCAGTGGCTAGAAAATCTGCTTCACCCTTCCTCATCCCAGCCGAGTCGTTGAATAGGCCAAGTACCCGATCAAGAACCACTTCAGTTTTCACTTTCAAACGAATTCGAATGATGGGCGCACTGCAACGGATGGTTGATCAGTGCCAAAAACTATGCTTCAACGTCTTTTTAATAAAATCATGCTAGGGCCGTTGCAGTGGTGGTTCCATGAGTGATCACTCAGCTTTCGCAATGTACGTTGAACGCATGGCACACTCTTGATAATTTCGAAAATTCAGAAAAGATATTAGCATCCTATTCCACTTAAAGGCACAGTGCACGATTAAAATGGCTTGTGCGATATCTCCATGGGATGGATTTGTGCCTGTGTGCCATATGTGAGGCTGTCAAGTCGTCATAAAGGCTCAAAGATTTCACCGTGTGTATCCTCGAAGGAGTTACACCGGCACTGTAGAGGCTGCACCAGTCACAAGGGAACCCGTGTAGCGATAGTGAAGGGCAGTTCTGCACAGTTTTGGCTTGATGTAGTCAGCTTTTTGCCTATTAAAGCAACCAAAATCTCGTCCGGAACCCCTTCCATGTTATTTCCGTCATGATAATCTCGTCCAACCTCTATTTTTCCTTATTTCAAGAGCCTTACTTTTCCCGAGATCAATGAATTTTTCGCTTCCTTCAATAGCTATAATCAATTCCCAACCTGTACTTCCACTCCTCGACTAAAGAGGGCTACCTTAAGTTTATCGCACTGCGCCTTGAAATGGGAATATCAACCTCTCGAACTGCTCACCTATTCTCTTTTTACTCTCGGCTTACGATTGCTTAAGTTCCCCAGGCCCCGGTTGCAATCTAACACTGGTCATTAGTGGAATCCGAATGTCCCGATTTTCTGTGAATTCCTCGGCATCGGTAACCGCGGAAACGGCGAAGTCGGCGGCGGTGTTGAATTCATTCATTCGAAAACGTGTGTGCGCAAGTTGCTTTTTCAGTTTTGACCTCGTTTCGAACCCATGGGGCGACACTGAAGACCAACTACTAACGTTTCTTCTTCTATGGTGATGTTCTCTCACATGCACGCTCGTACTCTGACTTCCGTCGTCGCCGCTGACGATAACGCTGGAAACTGCATCCGCTAATTCGGAAAAGAAATCGCCTTCGCACTTGTCACAGATGAGACAAGGTAATCGACGAGAGAACGGGAACAGCCGACATCCTTTAGATGGTTCCCAGAAAATGCTGGTTGCTGTCCGAAGGTCTTCTATTCGCAGAGTCGAATGGAATGGTAATCGTTCAACTTCTGAGAGGGTAAAGAATCCCGAAAAAGAAAGCCTACAGAAACTTCAAAATAGAAGGTTTCAGGGGATAGGGTAAAGTTCCAGAGTCTCTCCAGGATCAATTGGCAATAACAATCGACCCGATGGACAGCAATGCCATCCAATCTCACATTATCTAGATTAGATGGTCAGAACTGATTGGTAAAGGTAACCTAGGATCAGACCTGACCTTTTAGGTTACAACTAAGACAATTCAGATAGAATTGTTCCGGGGAGGTTCCTAACATTTGTACAGGAACTGCGGTCTTCGATTCATGTCCCATACAAAGTCATAACCGCCTGTTGCGTTTTGGTAAGTCACAGCATGCCCGTTCCATCAAATAACAGCCTTCAACGACCAGTTTGACGGGGTAGAATGAGGGAAGAGGAGCGATGTACGAAACAGACCTCAACCTAGAAGTCCAATGGGATACTTATAGCCAATCACCCATGAAAAGGCGCAAATGAGGCAGATAGTACACACGTGGGTCAAACTTTGGATGGGATTTTACCCATTTCTGGAGGGCTTTCTTCATCTGTAGATGATTAGTAGAAGATGGGCTTGAATGTCATCGTGCTTCCACATGCAAGTTGAACGCATGGCGCAACAGAAAGCCGAAGTGCAAGCTGTTTAAGACGAAACAAACTCAAAGGCTCTGACTATATCTTCTGCGAAGGGAAATACCTCGTCTCTACGAATATCTCACGGTATTCACTAGGGATAACCGACGGACATTCAGCTTAAATGTGAACCAACTGCTTTGGTCCCCGCTTAGCGACCTACAAGTTGAGAGTTGTGGGCCAACTCGCAGTGTAGCTGCAGTAGAGCCATTGCGTTCGGCAATACATAAACCTCGGATAAAGCCAGTCATGAACACCGGTGATCTTCCTGCCTAAGCAGTGACTGAAGGCGCTATCTCAGTTACCAGGAGTTTCCGCAACTTTCTCGACCCTTACTGTCGATGGTCCCAGATAGTTTGTCGTAAAAACCTCGGAAATCCCCAGAACGGTAGTGCCAATCCCTGACCTACTTCGAGCAATTACTGCTGACCAAACGGGACCAAGATGGTAGCCGATGATCGTATAGATGAGGGTGCGAGGCCGTTGACGCACCTCGTTCGTTAGATATTGTCAGCGGACCGAGGGCCTTGACCGAGCTCATATCAGCACTGCATAACTCCCGAGATCGTGATGGATCCATCAAAAGTTCACCACCCTGGCCGTCACCGGTCATTACTCTTATGACCTTATTTGGTTACCAGTTATATGTGGATGGTCTTACCTGTTTCACTGGCCGCACGCTTTCCTCCACGAACCAAACTGCTGCTGATACTGACACTGTCGTATTCACCATCTTGCTGACGTCTTTCCCATCCCTAAAGAGAACTGTCAATCAGAAACCATCAATTATCCAAAAAACAATAAGGATACCTTGGGTGCACGATCGATCTGATCCTCTCCTTCGACAGAATTGCCTTCCTCACTTTGAGGACTACCCGGAGACCGTTCTCCAGTAGAACCTTCCTGGAAATAAAAAAAATAGATATTTTGAAGGTGTGCGACTTATTGGTTGATTGAACGGTTCTTGACCTTTATGGCCTTCAGTCCCGGGACTTTCTCGTCCATTTTCAGATAAATGGAATCGGCATAGGCGTGGAAACAGCAACGAACAAGGGCGTTCGCGGCCTTGTTGTTTGTACAAATGAATCCATGGCATTCTAGTACCTAAAACAGCCTTCTCTACAGTACCACCGACGTACTGTAAGTGGTCAATCATACCTTTACTCCAGTGGTTCGCCTCATAATCGCAGCAAAAATAGGGGGATGAGGTGAGTCGGGAATATTGGCGAAAGGCGAGTCAAGTGGCAAAAATCGTTCACCTCCACCTGAAAATCTTTGAATAGGAATGGGCCAAAAGGTCCGTTTATGATACCGCTCACCTTCCACAGCATAACCCGTAACATTCACATATCTGACGGCTGCACAATAGTGCAGGGTATTGATTGGGAAGAACGCAGTCTCACTCTTTTTGTCACCTTCGATATACTCGAGTAGAATACCATTTGACCATACGGAAAGCCTGAAAGTACTACCGTAATTCTACAGTACCTTTGAGTGAACTTGATAAACACACCATGAGTCGATTCCTCTCGTCTCGGGTGTGTCCTCGACAGGATAGCGCTCTCGTAGCGGTTGCTGTATGCCCTGTAGACCATCCTTAGTGATCGTTGGTACAGACGATCCTATATACAGTACCCGACACCGACACAGCGGTAGGACCATCTAAAATGGTGACTGGTGAATCACTAGAAAATAACGCGAGCAATACAGAAAGCGAGTTGTGCGCTCAGAACGGCTGCTAGTGCGGGGGCGGATGAACGGTGGGATTTGATTGATTGCACTGCTTTTTACTCGAATGATAAGTGATGTCGATGGTGATGGCAGCTATGAAAGGTGAGAGCGAGGGGAAGTGAAATTCGTGGCGTTCATTCGCCAGCCGGGCGACCGACGTTTTCAGCGTTTGCCAGAAGAAAAATCTGAAGGCGAGATCGATCAGGAGATAGTGCATAGAAGGAACTGGCTGGAAAACACGAACGCAACACGAATAAAATCAAAAACACTTTCGATCAGAATTTCACTTGGCGATGTGTTGGCTGCGAGAAGTGAAGTTCGCCAGACGAACGTACATATAGCGCAAAGCGAATGGGCGCGTTAAGGATACGCATTTACGGTCGATTAGTTCAACAGTTCAATTTATTCTTGTCTGTGGCCTACGAAATCTTCGTGATTGCCGCAGCGAAGATGAAGGTGGCAGGGGCCAACGGATAGTTAGGATGCAGTTCCGAAGGAACCCAAGCTTATCAATTTGAGAACTGAATGCAAGGTTCCACAAAACGGGAGCTTGATCTGTGATTTCGTCCAGTTTTCTAACTCCCTCTACTTGTTGAATGGGCAGAACAAGATCAAACAATCCACAGCGAATATATGACAAAGTACCATAGACACATGGCGCATTCTGGAAAGAACGGTGCTAGGAATTGCACAGCTTCATACATTCTTAATTTACAATGTATTGGTGGGCATATTTGCAGACAAAAGCACTCAGCTAGGCTACTTAGTTTTGACCATCCGAACCTATTGACTACCTACTATGGATTTCAAATAAATGGAATCGTAGAGTTGAAATTGGACAAAGGTCCAAAGTTTGCGGATCGACTCCCGCCTCTGCCCAGGGTAACTGAGCCTTCCATCTCTCCGGCGTCGGCTGATTAGTACTAAACTCGTCTGGGAGGATAAAAGCAGTGACTCGTACATTGGCTGGTCACCACAAATTATTGTATGGGTAACATACACGTTCAAATACCCCTACGATTCTGAATGGATGTAAAATGTGGAGCGCATATCAGACACGAGGCTGATTGACGCAAGAAATTATCTTTTATCTCTGCTGAAGTTAAAATTACATAACCGTGAATAATCGGAATGTGAAATATTGTGAAACATTCGAAAAATAGGATGATATTGCAGTTGAGCCAAAGTAGCTCACAGTTCAGTCCAAACAGGATCGATTCAACAACCCTTCCGTTACCTTTACTCTTTCACTCATTTTTTCAACATTTTGCAAATAACAGATTGCGGGAATTGTTGATTTTTTTGGACGATTTTTTTTCTGCGGGTAGATCGCTGAATCGAATAGTGCACTTTGATTTTCCACTCTCGTAAACAGAACGTGATCCTATGGGTTATGGGCGAAAAAAAATATTTTGAACCATGTTCAGAACTTGTAAACAGACAGATTTGACAGCGGCTACCCATGAAAAACTGGTACAAGAAATCTTTTTGGAGTAATCTTGAGAAAAAAAAAAGACAAATCTACAAATGCTCATGAAACATCATCTAATGACAAAAATATTGCTGAGAAAGTGTAGTGTTGAAACTTCCTAATAAGGTCAAAACAGGGCCTCTGGGAGGGAAGAAAACGCCTTTGAAGCTCAGCTTTCTAACTGGTTCACCTTAAAAATCCAGGTAACTTTGGAAACATCAACTAAACGAGAGGAATAGAAACGAAAAGCAGCCGACTTCAAGAAATGAAATGTCGAAGTTCCAAAGGAATGAATCGACATCTGACTGTTCAGAGTTGAACATAAAAGAAACAAGTTCGCCATTGAGCCCCTTTGTAAACAATGAGACAGTCAACTTTACGTCTTTCTAATCTCTAGAAATAAAGAACACAATCAATACAATAGCAAATACAGAACAACGATCGTGTGCCTGCTAAAAGATGGTCTTTTCAGCAATTTTTAATCACAGCGACAACCATGAAATGCTGTTACTAGTTCTTGGGTGAGAGAACATGAATGAGTTCAGCGAATCAAAGAGAACAAAAACACCTGGGCCAGCGAAACACTGCAGTCAGAAACGGTTGTATTGTGACGGCCGCCCCATAACAGCAGAAAATATAGCATGGAAAGTGAAATTTCAATTTGCCTTCTTG